GAGGAAAGGAGCATGTATAATAAGCCCCTTAGTCAAGACTGGGAAATGAGGAAGACCACTAGATGGAGCTTAAGGTACCATAACTATCTTGAACCAGATGTAACAGAAGGGAGGGTCTGGGAAAGGAAGGGCCCTAGGATGGCAGGCAGAGAAAACACATTCCAGAAATGAAGGAAAATATGAATCCTGCAAAACAGGTCTGATTAGACCCTTGATATGACTTTTTCCTCCTTTTAATCTTGTTTTTCCACTCGCTTTAAATTTTCTCACAGTTCTTTCTCCTTGAGGACTTTTTTTTTAACCTTTATAGGAATCCATATATGTTCAACTCCTCTGTTCTATAGAGTTAGGTCCCAATGAGTGGGAATAATGACTCCCTACCCAGGAAATGGTCATATTCACAGAGCATATTTCCACTGGGCTGGAACAAAGACCATATTTTACATGATTATAACCTCAAATGCTGAGAATTTCAATGCTTGAGAACACTTCAGAGGATTCATTGTTTGCATTAATTATAACCTTTGTATGTCTACTGTCCATTCTGCATCTGTTTAATGTTCCTTGGTTGCTGTCGCCAGTCTGTTCTATATATCTGGAGCTGGAAGAAGTCTCAGAGATGATCTTGTTCACCCTCCTCTTTTTAATGGTGAGGAAAGTGAGGCCATGGAAAAGAGAAGTGACTTGACCAAGGTCACACAGCTAATAACCAGGATACTAACCCAGATCCTTGGATATCATTTGTTGTAGCCAACCCTGTCTCTCTTAGACTGTGAGCTCCAGGAGGGGCACAGTCCTGAGTATTTTTCTTTTTAGGTTATCATTACTATATTTAATATATTCCTTTCATGCAAATGAAATGGATGAGCGCCTACTTCTTGGAAATTGGGAATTAAAAGGTACTGGGGGCTTCTTTTGGAAGGTACTTCTGAAAAGTTCAAAACAAAAACAAAACGAAAATACAACCCCCCCCCCAAAACCAAAACCAACCCAAAAAACTTTGGGCCCTTCTTAAGGATCTAATTTTAAATCAAAGTCATATGAACATCACCATTTTTCATCTCATCTGTCCCTCTTTTCCTGTAGCCCACCCAGCCCAGCCTGAGGTTGGCAACATTTCAGTGAAAACTTTCAGCAAAAACAAAGAGCCATTTAACATGTTTGAGGTTTTCTTGCTTTTGCCATCGGGAAGTCATAAAGTAATGGTTCCAGAGCTGAAACTAGAAGGAATTCTAGAGTTTGGTCTTTAACAGGGAGGCCTATTAGGGGTTCAGAAAAATTGGGTTGATTTTTGTTAGTCTGAGTACAATCTACCTCCTGCCCCTCTGCACAAAGCAGGTTGTCAAAACCTTAAGCAGCAGAGGAAACATCTGAAAAGGAAATCAGAGGAAATGCTTAAGTGGAAATTTCAATAAGAGGAATTTATTCAGATGCTTTTTAAGCTAAATAAAAAATATCAGTTATTCATCAGCCTACGTATTTCTCCAAAGATGTTATGTATCTGCATTCTGATTCCTACCATCCTCTGATATTCAATCTACTTAGGGGCTGACAGGTGGGAGCTACTTAGCAAAGGGATGTTAAGTACTGGGAAACCTTTGTTAGAGGGGTGGCTATGGCCTATGGTATATATCATTGAATACCCTGGCATTTCACTGAGCTCAAAATGCTAACATATGCAGAATACCATGGAAACAATGGGACTGTGTTCACTCGGGATCCAAGTGTACTCTAAGAGAGCTGCCTTTTTTTTTTTTTAGCTGAGCAAGGGCACACCCAATCTCAGCCCCACCCAACCCAGGGTTTGAGAGACCATACAAGATAGTTGGCAAGAGGTTGCCTCATTAATTGAAACATCCCGCAAAAAATATCATCTAATAGGATTTCTCTTGCCCAAATATATATTAGCTCACTCCAGCCGGCTATCAGGGCTAATCTCAGACCTTCCCCCGAAGACATCTATACACTGCAGATTTATGCCGTAAGAAACTGGCTTCTTGCAAATGAAAAGTATCTATTTCTTAGAAGAGGATAAAAATTGGATAGCAGTTTGCAGGGGTGGGGCTGAGGAAGAAATCTGAAATGAATTATGAACTCATTCCTCTCCCCCACCCACAGTAGTATGTATCTTTCGCAATTTGCTGAAACACGTTGGAGGCAAAGATCAGGTTATTACTGCCAGTGTTTCCATGGGCGTGGCCTCACCCCCAAGCCCAGGATACCGAGTCTTGCATTTAAAGATTGAAATTCAAGCTGCAGGGAAAATAAATCCGCGGCCACCACTGGCCTCTTTTCTAAGCAGAAAAAGTATCTGACAGTGTATCTCTCCGACAAGTAGTTATAAAGCCAGACTCCTCTGGTTCCCCAAACTTACCTAGTGTTTTCACACACATATGTGCCCTTTGCTCCTGGAATACTCTCTCCTCATCATTGCCTGCTAAGATCTTAGCCATGTTTCAAAGCCAAACTCCAATTCCTCCCCTTCAGGAAGTCTTCCTTCCCCTATTTTCCTAGATTAGAAGTCATCTCTCCCTCCTCTGCACCCCTAAGGGTCTTTATTTCTCTCTTACATGCCAATTACATACTACTCTTTAATAGGATCCTAGCTTATATGGAGGGGACCTTATGGGTCATCTGGCCCAACAACGCTTTCCGGAGAAGTTGAGTGATTTGTCTGAAGGGACACAGGGCAAGGCTTGGAATGAAACACCAAATCAACAATCTTTCCATCATACCATGCTGCTGCTGACTTGACATTCATTTTTGTATGTGTACCTCCCACTAGACCTGGGTATCATAAGCATGTTTAAAAAATACTGAAACTATATTATAATAGAATTTGTTTCCTTTGTATGTATTTAAAAGCATTATTCTGAAAAGGAGGTCCAAAAGGCTTTGCCAAACTGCCAAAGGGGTCCATGATGCAAAATCAGTTACGAAACACTACACTAGATACAAGTGAGGGCAGGAACTATATTCTTCCCCATCCAGCACAGTCCCTAATACAGTAACTACTCACTAAGTAGATGCCAGATGAATGAATGAAAGATAACCTAGCAGCCCTGCCATGATCTCTATCTGTTTTGTCACTGTCCTCAACTACAAAGCCCCCATTCAAGCAAACCGACCTTCTTTCAAATCACTGTTCAAATTTGGCATTCACTGACTTCCTCTTGGGGAATGCCCTCTAAAATTGCAATTTCCCTTTTCCTTTAGGGACTGTTCTGCCTTAACTATCAGAGAGACCTGTGGGGATCCAGGGCCACACCCACACGATGCTGGCTGCTGAATCACTCAGCCTTTCTTCCACCACTAGGTGAATCCAGTAACAACGTGTGCTTCACATATGCCCCTGGAAGCCATTAGGCCCAGAGTGAAGAGTGAGGTGATAAGGGCCACTCATTCCAAAGCACTCTGAATCTAGCCCCCCTTCCCATCTCTTTCCTCCACTTTTCTTCTCACAACCCCAAATAGGCCAACTGTTCCTTCTACTCCCATACCCCCAAGGTGGCTGTTCACTCCCCCAGCTGCCTAATTAAAATTTAGATAGTGCAGTAATAAATAAGGTCTGGAGTTATCACCCCCTCCCTATTCCTTTAGGTTATTATAGTTAATGATACCCATATGACTCAGTGAAGTTGCGTGTTAGGGTCTATTTGTCTCCTTCCCACTGGGCAAAATCAACTTCACATTTAGGAATTTAGGTAATTTTTCTTTACCCTTCTCTCACATTTAACTTTCTAACCTGGTCAGGGTGAAATTGAAACTTTATTTTTTGTTTCCCCTGGGGAGAAGAAATGCTTTTAGTTGTAGCTTCCTCTTACTCTACAAACAGCTCTGAAGGTGGTTTGAAGATTGTTTTTGATTCCTGTCCCATCTCTTTTATCTTCCCCCCTCCCTCTCCTCTTCTCTCATTTTCCTTTTTCTTGTCTCCCTTCCTCCCCTCTGGGAAAGGGTCAGCCAGCCACCTTCTAGTCAAGCGTACAAACAACAGGAAACCCAGCCCAAAGCATCTAGGAAAGAGAAAACGCCTCCGGAGTGCAAATCCAGAGCGGGAAGCCAGGCGGTGACCCAGCTAGCTGCGTTCTAGTACCCCAGGGAGTGACCCACATTAAATTCAGCTCAATGTCCTACCTTCTCTGCCCGAATTGGTAGGCAAAGGTCACGCCTGCCTATTCCTGGGAGGATTTCCTAAGGCAGCCTCACCTGGCACGTTACTGGGACTAAATGTTGGAGGAACACCAGGCCAGAGTTTGGCCACCCTTGGCTGAAGGCTGACTGCCAGAAAGATGGCTCCCAGCGTGTAGAGGATCAGCCAGGGTAAGGGGTAGAGCGACTGGAGAATGTAAATAGACAGCAGGACAGCAAAAAGCAGAGAGAGAATGGGAGATGGAGGCGGGGAGCAGGGTGCTGTTAGAGAGGAGAAGGAAGGCAGCTTAACGTCAGTCGGAAGCCTTTGTTCCTCCAGAGATCTTGGGGCACTGCTCCGGCCCGGATCCTTGCAGGCATATTCTCAGCAGTCCAGCCCCCAGGTGTCCCAGGTGCCCTGACACCCTCCCTTCCCGCGCCGCACCTCCTGCCCTGCCTAGCACCCACTTAGCCCTGGCTCGGGAAGGGGTGCGCCACGGCTCGCCCCTGGGTGTGGTCACAGTCATTCGGGAACAGCGGTTCCTGAGTGCACAGCTTCCCGCAAGTGGCTTCGGGCGCCTCCTGGTCAGGATACCCTCAAACCCTAACCTCGCTGGGAAGCGCAGCCCGATCTCGGGACTGGTCCTGAGCAGCCTGTCTGCAGGCGGGGGTGGGAGCTCCAGACAGGAGGAGCGGCGAGTGAGCGCTCTTTAGCCCTGGGGGTCCTGGAGTAGCTCAGCCGGCTCTGCCGGTCCCCCCAGAGGCTGCTGGATTTAGCTCGTGCCTCCCTCCATCTGCACCTTGGTGGGAGGAAGCGACAAAGCGGCCAAAATAACCACAAGAGAGATAGAGACCCAGAGAGAGGAACTCACCTTGCCTAAGCAAGCAGCAGCTGAGCGGGACGAAAGAAGACTGCAGCAAGCACTATTAGCCTTAGAGTTTCTAGGGGTGGGTGGGGGAGAGGGAGGATCAGGGGGCTGGGCAGGGGAGACTGGAGTAGGCTTTGATTGCACAGTGCCTCCTCTTGCCCCACCCCTTTCCCCCTCCCTCCTTTTTCTGTCCGTCCTCCCACCTCTAGGGCCCAGGTTTTAACTTTTTCTAGTCCCCTCCCTCCTCCAGTAGTGTGCACGCGTGTGTTCTCTAGGCAGGAATGTGCTTCCCCTTGGAAAGCTTCAGGACATCCCTGAACAAGAACAGCGCACTTCCCACTTGATTTACTTTTAGAGTGTAGGGTGTGTGTGGAAATGGGGGGAGGCAGGGACGTGGGGGGAGGTAGGGGCGTGTACTCTCGCGCTCTGCGAGTGTGTAGATGATGGTGGAAACAAAAGCATCCAGCAGTCTGTGGGCTGGGCCATTTGGCGCAGAGCCAATTTTAACAGGCACCCTGGTATTATCCTGATCTAGCAATTGTTTTCTGCAAGACTTGTCTTCCAAGCTGCTTCCGCTGGGAGAAGGTGGAACCGTCTGGGAGCTGGGAGCTCGTTAAGATTTGGGTTGCCAAGAAGGTACGCTAAGACAATCGTAAAGCCAATCGAGGCTCCTGCCTGGCTGGGGTGTCGCCGCGTAGGGGAGGCTTTCCTCATTACTCTTAAGGGAGAGGAAGGAATGCAGCCCACCTTATTTTACTTCCTTAACCTTTTAAGAGGCTAAAGAGGGAGCCAGAGAAGAGATTCTGAAGGGGGCAAAAGTGACTCGAGGCTGTTAAGGGAGAATGTAAACTCCCTGAAGGCAGGAACTGCTTTTGTCTTGTCTTTGCATCCCCAGGGCCTAGCACAGTGTAAGCACTTAATAAAATAATTACTAATGCTATCCACATCCAGAAAAAGAACCACGGAGTCTGTGTGCAGCTCCATGGAAGATGAAATGCAGATGGAGGCATACTCTTTGCTCTCCTTTTGTTTTGTTTTATTTCTTCTTTCTCGTGGTTCCTCCCATTAGTTCTAATTCTTCTTTACATCATGACTAATGTGAAAATATGCTTAATGTGAATATATAAGTAGAGCCTATATCAGATTGCAGGCTGTCTTGAGGAGGGGGGAAGAGAGAGAGGGGGAGAAAATTTAAAAACTCAAAATCTTGTAGAAGTGAATGCTGAAAACTAAAAACAAGTATTAAAAAAATAAATAAAATAATTGCTAGATTGCGTTGAAGTTTTTTTTTTCTTTTACTTCCTCTGGTTGACTTACACATTACATGTGTTTTGCCTAATGGGAGACTTACCATTTCTTTACTGTTGGTTTAATTTTCTACATTGGCTGATGTCTTAACTTGAGTTTTAATAGATACTTTAAAAATGTGAGTTTTAAAATCTCCTTAGAAAGGATCACTAGCTATATTCCCTGATCTTGTTCTGGTTTTGGCCTGGAATAAGCTAGATTCAATAAACAATTCAGTAAGTATTTGTTAAGGGCCTACTATGTGGACTTCGAATGTCTGTTGTCCAGACTATAGAGTAGTTGGACAGACAGCCCATAAAGCTGCTCCATTAGTACTTGTATCCTGGACAGACAGTGTGAATGGACAATAGTCTAGCCCATACCTGAATAGGAAAAAGAGAGGTGATTGCATTGAATTCAATTCATTAAGCAGTGGGTTTACTAGGGAGTGGGGAGAGAGGCTGGTATTGAACTTGGGAAATCACATAGTGCTTTTAGCGATCTCAGACTTCTCCCTGATGCACAATTCCATACTGCAATACCAATATTCTGAAACTCACACAGTAACCAACATTTCCAAGGAATCAAAATTACAGGTTCCCCAAAAGGCAATGAAAAGAAAAATGGTGGCAGTAAGCACAGCAGAGGCTGCCATGTACTACAAATTACTCACACAAAGTAATCAATCAGTCTAGTCATATGTAGGCAGTGAAGGATAGCACACAAGTAGCCCATATGTCGCCCAGTAGCCACATGATGTCAAGAAGAGATGGGGAGGAGGAAAAAAAAAAAGAAAAGGTGGGGAGGAAGACCCCTGGGATGTTTGATGAATTTATGTGAACACATGGATTAAAGTTACAAAGGACAAGGTGTGGATGGGTTTCAATTTGCACCATTGGGAAGAGCCCTCCCAGCACCGTTGAAGTATTGAAATCGGTATAGGGCCTTTTCTTTTCTTCCCCTTGAAATCTTTCTCTTCTTCTAAGTCTCAGCTTGGGAACCCCTACTCCATGAAAAACAACAAGATGGATTTAGTAAGGCGTACTATGTTGCCAGGCACTTTGCTAAGTTCTGGCCAAACGACGAAAGGGAAACATAATCTCTGTTCTCAAAGAGCTTAGAATTAGAATGTACATACAGCTGCATACGTAGAAGATATTTTTGTTGTTGCTGAGTTGTATTAGTTGTGTCCAACTCTTTGTGATCCCATTGGGGGTTTTCTTGGCAAAGACACTGGAATAGTTTGGCATTTCTTTCTCCAGGTCATTTGACAGATGAGGAAACTGAGGCCAATAGAGTGAAATGACTTGCCCGGGGTCACACACAGCTAGTAAGTATCTGAGGCCAGATTTGAACTCGGGAAGATGACTATCTACTCTATCTTCCATTCTGTCTACTTCGCTACCCAGCTGCCCCTATATAAGATATAGTCAGAGTAAATCAGAGGATGTCTCAGAGGGAAGGTACTGGGAGTGTGGGAGAGTACAAAAAACTTATTGAAGAAGGTGAGATTTGAGCTGAGTCTTGAAGGAAGCACTAAATCTTTCTTGATTCTCCCAGCTAAGTCTCCTCTCTCATGATAGAGCATGATGTTCTGAAGAGTGATGAGCTTAGAGTTCAAAGGTCTGAGTTCAAATATCCATTCTGTCACTTGCTGCTTGTGTGATTCTGGATGATTCCTTAACCTTTATGGATTTCAGTTCTTACAGCTGTAGAATAAGGAGGCTGGAGGAATTACTAAGGCCTCTTCCAGTTCCCGGTCTAAGATCTTATGATTTCTTCTTTCTCCCTATCATGTCGTACCTTCTATTAAGCTCATTTGTGTAGATGCTACATGTCCCCTGGGGACAGAGTCTATCTTCAGTGCCTTAATAAAGAATAATAATAATAATAGCTAGCATTTTTATAGCGCTTGAAGGTCTAACTAAGCAGACCCTTTCCCAACAACAGCCCTCTTATTTTTTGGCTACACCTCTGATTTCATTGCTTATAGTACAGGGAGGTCCTGTTGAGGAATTTCTGCTACCGATGCATATTTATATCTTCTCTTCAACTTTCAGTCTTAAAGATTTGTCTGGGGGCTACTTAATCAGTAGCCATTAGATCTCAGCGGTAATATTTGAACCCAAGTCTTCCTGACTCTGAGACCAGCTCTTTATCCTCTATGCAATGTTAACTCTTGGAAATGTCACTATTTTCACTTTCCAGGTCTTCTAATTCCAAGTCCACTCTGCCAGATAGCCTCATACAGAGGACACTACATCAATTTTGGTAAATTTAATTATTTTTGATTTATAGTCAGATCGTTTTTGGTTACGTTCTTTTTCAGTAATGTCTAACTCTTTGTGACCCCATTTGGGATTTTCTTGGCAAAGATCCTGGAACAGTTTGCCATTTCCTTCTCCAGCTCATTTTACAGATGAGGAAACTGAGGCAACTGGGGTTAAGTGATTTGCCCAGGGTCACATAGCTAGTAAATGTCTGGATTTAAACTCAGGAAGATGAGTCATCCTGACTCCAGGCTTAGCACTCTATCCATTGTGCCATCCAGCTGCCACTAGTCAGATTATAGCCTCATAGTTTTAGAGCATAGAGATCACGAAGACTAATGATGTTCATTTTATGAAACTGTAACCGGGAAATGTTAACATGACTTGTCTAACAAGGTCAACAAATCTCATTCTTATCTCAAATACTCATCTCAAATACTTTCTACAGAAAATGCCAGAGTCTCACTGCCTTGACCTTCAGGAAATTTTGGTGTCAGTCCTTGTGAGTAACAGCACTGATGGTGATTATAGCAGCAAAGGTTCTTGGTCATGGTTACACCATACCGGGTCAAGGTGCACTGATTTTGTTGTCAGTATTCAAGGCTTGACAGGTTGCATGGAGGCTTTCTAAAGAATGCAGCTCCATTTATTCCTGGGAAATGTCCGTGGACCCACATATGGTGTCACCATCATGACTCCTAGTGCCAATGGTTTCAGATAAAGTCACTTCAAAGTGCTGATAAGCTATCAGACTGGAAATCTTTGAAAGAGGGACTGAGAAGAGGCTGGCTGGGAAACCTAATTGCTCCTCTTCTGAGGTATTCTAGTCACTCCTCCTGGTGATAAGAAGGATAATTGGACACAGCAGTATTTTCTGACCTGTTTCCCTGATGCAGAAAATCTTTATTCCCAGGTTTCTTTCCCCAAGGTGATTTTTACTGGGACCATGAGCTCGGGCAACCTAGATTAGACATTTCTTGAGAACGGGAACTATGTCTTTGTTGGGTGACCACTTACCTGAGACATTATAGGCATTTATGGTTCAGATAGGGGTTGAATGAAATGACCTCTGAGGTTCCCTCTAACCCTGGCATTGGGCTGTTCACAGCGCGTAGTACATAGTTTTGCATGTTGAAGTAAGTAAATATTTGTTGATTGAAGGCAAGTTGATGAATATAGGCTATTATTTGATCTCCTCTACCATCTTCGAAAGTCCATTGCTACTCCCTGCTGAATCCAATTCAATGTGATAGACATTCATTAAGTGCAGACTGTGCAAAACACTGCGTACAGTCTTGTGTTTCTTATAACATATTCCCATATCACAATTTGTTTAGCCGTTCCCCAACTGATGTTTGTTTTCAATTCTTTGCTAAGACAAAAAGTGCTGGCATGAATGTGAAACTTCCTTTCTCCAATTGTTCAGTCGTTTTTCAGTCATATCTGACGCGTTGTGACTCCATTTGGGGTTTTCTTGGCAAGACACTGGAGTGGTTTGTCATTTTCTTCTCCTGCTCCTTTGATAGATGTGGAAACTGAAGAGGGTTAAGT